ACACGACCTCTACCCTTTCCTACAACTAGACCAAGGCGCTCCACCTAAGTCGAGGCTAAGTAGTTGTGGGTAGCACCCGTGTCTATCATCGCCCGAATGGGCTTGCCATTTACCTTCATCTCGACAAACATTAAGGTCATCTCTTGTTTAAGAGGAGTCCTCTCATCCGCTTTCTTTTTCCCTTTCTTGGTGATTGTATAGGGGTCCTTCTTCTTAGGAATACCATCACTGGTTTCTGCATCGCCTCATAAATAGAGCCAACAATTGTATTGAAGGCACCTACTGGTTCGGTCTGGTCCGCATCATCTGTGTCATCATCTGTCCCATCATCAAAGGCTTGATGGGCGTTTATCTGTGCATGTGGGCATTCATTATTCCAATGTGGTCTGCCGCAATGACGGCATCCTGAAGGGGGCTTTCTCCCCCGGTCATTGTTGTTTGACGCAACACTATTGCTACCTGAGGAGGGAGCCTTAGATTTGGTTGCACTTCGATCTCCCCCACTTCTGCTAGGGCCACAGTTTCTAGGTTGGCCCCCTTTGTATCCCGCTCGGGCAAGCGGTTGAGGCCTATCCTTGCGAGCTTCCACTTGATAGTCTCCAAGGCATTCAACTGCTCGGATCGCCTTGGGTAGGGTATTTACCCTTTGTCTTTGCAACTCCATAAGGGCATAAGGTTTCAACCCTTTCAAGAAGGTGAAGAGTTTGTCTTTGCCCCCATGTCACGTATGTTCAACATGAGCGCGGAGAATTCCCGCACGTAATCCCGCACTGATTTGGTCTGGCGGAGCTCTCGTAGCTTTCTCCTTGCATTGTATTCAACATTTTCGGGGAAGAACCGTAGGCGTATGGATGCCTTCAGTTCTGCCCGTGTCTCGAGAGAAACTTCACCGGCCCTGATGGCTTTGTACTTCACCCGCCACCAGAGTTTAGCATCAACCTGAAGATACATGGCAGCATTTACTACCTTCTAAGCTTCTTCTAGGCCCCCACGGCATCGAAGTACTGTTCGATATCAAAGATGAAGTTTTCCACTTCTTTGGCATTTCGAGCTCCACTGTATGGCTTTGGCTCAGGAATTTTCAGTTTTTTTGTCGCGGGGGCGAGGTTCAAAGCACCCTCGATTTGGTTTCCGCCTCCTCGAAGCAGGCCTTGTAAAGTAGCATTGGCAACATTGAGCTGTCCTGTCTAGTTGTCTATAGTTTGTTGCATGGCAGTTACCCTGTCTGCCTCTTGTGCCCTGTAGGCTAAGTCCTCGGCACGCTCCTGTTGGAGGCCCTCGAATTTGCCAAAAATTTTGGCTGCCTCTGTGGCTGCGGTTTGCCGATCTCTCTCAGAGTCGCGACTGATGTTTTCTATGTCAACTTCGTTGTGGAGCATTCTGCAGTCCAGGTCATCCAACCTTTGCACTAGGCTGGTTCTTAGTTCAGGCACCGTATCCACGATAGGCCGTAATACGCCAACCGTCTCTTCAAGGGCCGCAATGCAGTCCCCATGATTCACCATGGTCAGAAATGGTGGTAATGGCAATGTGTTCCCTCGTCCGATGTCGAGCCTAGGCTCTGATACCAACTGTTATGCGGCGCCTTCGTGAGATTCCTTTGAAGGGCGACGTAAGGCTAAGCAACTGATGTCAGTGCAATTACTATCCGCCAACTGAGGTCCCCTCCATACGCTAGACGAGATTGTCAGTGCCGTATGAGAGAACCAATATCAAGAGCAATTGAGAGAACAAAAATGAGAATTGAGAATGAAAGAAAGCTTGATCGCATTAATGAAAGCTATTACAGAAAAGCAAAACAGTGTCGAGGGAGAGAGACACCAGTACAGAGAATTGTTTGCTTGCTAGAAAGTTTGATTGCTTGATCCCCCTAATAGTGCTTAAAAAAAACCAAAGTTACAAGACTAGACCTAACTAAGCTAGAGAAACATAATGGAAGTACATGAAATAAAACTACTATATATTTACAATGAAAAGGACTTAGTTTTCTCCAAGGTAGAAATATGTCCGTTGTGAGCAACCTTATCTTTGGCATTACGTTCTGCGCGCGGCAATGTTGGCATCTGCCTGCGGCTAGGCGCTGTTGGCATTTGCCTGCGGCTGGGCGTTGTTGGCATCTGCCTGCGGCTGGGCATTGGCGAGGGATATCTGTGGGGTGACAAAAGCACATGCGCACTTGTCACTTGGCGCAGCCAAAACCATGAGACCGTTCGTGGCGGTAGGCGTTGGGAGGCTTGCTAGGACACCACGAAGCGCGTCCAAGGAGTTATGGGGCATGGCTGGAAAGCCGCCCATGACATAACTCATGCCTAGGCTTTCTCTTATCTATTTATGGGCGTTGTTGTATCCATTGTTGTCAATCTGTGCATCGATTATTTCTTCGAACTTCGGGAATAGCAACGTTGGCAAAGGAGGTCGGAAAAGCCATGCGCGTTCTAGAGGATATAGAATCTAATAAAGAATTCATTCGCAAGATGGAATAATGCGGCGGTTCAGGCGACGGTTATTTTAAGTTCTTGATCCAATTTGGATGGAAGTGGGAATAGAACATATGAGTATTGATAAATTATGATAAAAATTACAGTATTGGGTAGCAGTACAAATTATGTAGTTATTAAAGTTCGTTTTAGTACATTTGAAATACCTAAAAAAAGAAAAAGATGGATCTACATATTATAAATTTCCACGTGGAGACAAATTACATATTATACTGGCCGTTGTTGTTGTTGTTTGCTTGTTTTTAACAAAATGAATAAAAGATGTAAATCATAGAAAATATCTCCTAGATATGCATTGCAAGATTTCGTAATTTAAAACCTTGATTAGCACCCATTTTCACCAAATGCGTAATCTTGTTCCTTTCGTTCCTAATTTAGTAGTCTTCATATTGCAAAGTTAGCTTTGAAATTCAGAAAGTTGTTATTTTTTTTAATGATTCAAATTGGTTTAATTGCCTAAATAGAAGTGTATTTGATGATAGCCTGTATAATTGTGCAGCTGTATTTTGCATATTAATGTCCAATCCCATAAAAGTTGTCAATAACATAATAGAAGAAACATTACTACGAAAATGCAGGATTCCGATTAGAAGACAACACAAAATGTGGAATTGGAACAAGATTCCAAATTCTCACCACCACTTATATTTTGGTTAATTTTTTTTTTTTAATGTTTTAAATTTTGTATCTAGTTAAACATCATCACATATGAAAGGGACGTAAAGAATTATGGAAACAAAAAGTGTGTTTTGTTGAAAAGTAAACAAAAATAGTTGGTTTATATGTGTATATAAAAAGATGTAGGGTAGTGATTCAATAAAACACAAATAAATGTGCAAGTTGTAGGGGTGTACATAGGTTGGGTTGGTTCGAATTTTTTGATTACCAAACCAAACCAATTGTGTCGGGTTTTCGGGTTTTTTTCTTCATTAAGTCTTAATAGCACAAAACATAGATTTTGTGCTTCTTTTTAATCCTAGTAAGACATAACTATATAAGGTGTTTTTCAAGAAAATAACATTAAATATGAGGTGAGTCATGGCATTGTACTAAAATATTCAACAATCGCTTAAAAAAAATACTATTAATAAGCCATAATGAAAATAAACACAATCTAAAATTACTAAGTTGCTAAAATAGATACGATTAAGAAGTACTACTATTATTAATAGGATTAAACACTAAAAAAAAAGTTGTGCATTTTATCTAAGCCATGGAAAGCCTAAAAAGATAGATATCCAACACTATTGTCATTCCTAGTACAATTGAATTGAATGTCTTTTGTTAGCATTGATATTGATTTGATTTTAGTTTGGGATTAATTTGAGTTACTAGCATTTATGGACTATAAAACTTATTGGAGCATTCAAAAATTATAAGTCCAAGCTTGAAATATGTTAAAAGATAAAATTATAAAAAAGTTTAAGAAATATTTATAAACTACATTACAATAAATATTTTATGTATTAAATATATTTATAACTTCTATACATGTAGTTCTGGGTTGGTTTAGTTTCAGTTTGACTTTTTTCAGTTAAAATCAAATCAAACCAATTATGGTCGGATTTTTTCCCCAACACCAAGCCAAAACAAACTAAACCATAATCGGGTTTCTTTCTCAGTTTAACTCGGATTATCGATTTAGTGCGATTTGTTGGTTTTCTTTGTACACCCTAGGGCTGCTTATCGGGCGGATTGGACAGTTATTTGCTCCTAACGGTTTGGCTTATCGGTTATCGGCTTTAGAATATATTAATCCGTTAGCCACCCGATAAGATATCGGGCGGATTGGTATCGGTTTAGCTCTTATCGGACGGTTTATCGGCGTAATTCAATCTATACTGGTTTCACGCAAGTCTCCACTCACTACTTACCGTAGAAAGCAGAAAATCTATTGTCCAAGCGAATGCAAAAGAGGCAATCTTTCTGGAAGGATTTTTGATATTTAATATATATATGGATAAAAATATTTTATATATATATATATATATATATATATATATATATATATATATTCTTAATGGGTTAACGGATTATCCGTTAGAAAAATTGAATAATCCGGCCCCAAATCGATAAGCCGTTAACAAAAAAAATTTAATCCGTTCCCCGCCCGTTAAACCGTTAACCCGATGCCAATAAGCCATTAAGCTTCGGTTTCTGTTCGGTTTTCGGTTTCGATTCGGTTTTTGAACACCCCTAGTACACCCCTAGCAAGTTGTACGACTGACTAGTTACTAGTAACATAATATAAGAATACAAAAAAAAGAAGGTAAAAGTATTAAAAATAAAACGGAGGAAGTCACTTAAAATTGGAAAGTGTCCAAAGAAAAATGGAACAAGAGAAAAAGTAAAAATGTATACCGCCCAAAATCTTCACTTTCCTAAATTAAACACAGAATATCGCCCTTATTAAGTTTCTTGTTTGTCTAAATTTTGGCACACGATCATAATTTGCCTTTAATGTAAAATCTTTTCCATTAATTATAGTTTTCCCATTGGAAAATTTATTATCTCTAAGGTACTTACAATCTCCCCTCTGTCACGCTTGGTTCTTTCTCAGTTCCTCAATATTCCATTTGGCTAAGTGGTATGAAAGTATACATATTATATATCAATCTTATTTTCCCCTCCTTGTTGTTTGATTTAAATCTATTTATATGCAATATCTCTGTTTGCTCAATGTATATCGTAATGATTAGTATTTTTTTGACTAAGCGAAGTTTTAGTTGCCGGTAGAAATGGTGCCTAAGTTGCTTCTCGTAGTTTTTTAAAGTGCACGAGGAATTTTAGCGTAGTGATGAGTTTTTTTCTAGTGGCCGCAGAGGTCGATTCAGGATTTGAACAACATGGGTTCCCATTTGATTTATTGGATTTAAAATCTATTATTTATACTTATTTTCGTGGAATTTTAACACATATACAGGGTTCTAGATCTTTATAAGTTTGGTCACCATTTACTCATGTTTCTTTCTATCATATTATTCATGTTATGTAATCATCATAAATGGGTATTTAGTTTACAGAAAAGAAAAGAGAAAAAATAACTTTTATTCATGGACAAAACAAATAACTACTAGTAGGTTTTTTTGTTTGTTTCAAAAAATTGTTACATTTGGATATAAATATTTGGTTTTATTGATCTTATTTTCCATTTATCAATTGTTTAGATACACAAGTAGTTTCTATGGAGCCATTTGCAGATGTGGTAAGTGCAAAACCTTTTGTCTCTTGGCTTTTATTTCTTGAACATTGAAATTAAAAACTATATGCTTTGTAAATTTTTGTGTATTTTAATTGCCTTTTCTGTTTTTTGTAGAGTTGCATTTTGAAAGTGGATGTCCATTGCGATGCTTGTAAAATGAACATGGTGCAAATTTTAAGCTCCGTATGCGGTAATATGCTTGTCATTAATCTTAAATTTCCATTTAGTTAATTAGGTTCAAGTAGGGGTGTCAAACAGGTGAGTTTGAATTGCATTTGGACAAGCTAAAACGAGTTGAGTCAATAAACGAGTTGAGTTATAATCTTTCTAATGTTTACGTGTATCATTAGAAAGAGATGAGTCGTGTGATCTATATAGGCAGGGGTGGATCTAGTGCAATATGTATGGGTTCACGTGAACCCAATACCTTTTGCCTAGACCCTATTTTTGTATTAAAGAATTTATTAATTTTATAAGAATATTTAGCTTGGAACCTAGTTCATTGGTCCGATTGTTATTATATATTAATTTGAGATCGCGTGGGAATCTATAAGCTTAAAATCCTGGATCCGCCTCCCCCTATAGGTCATACGTTCGAGCCGTGTAAGAGCCACTAATACTTGCATTAAGGTAGGCCGTTTTCATCACACCCCTAGGGGTACGACCCTTTTCTGAATCATGTATGAAATACAAGATGCTTTATGCATTGGGATGCCGAATAGCTTTTTTCTTACTAGTGAAGGTTTTTGTGCAGGAGTGTATTCATTGACAATAGATGCAAAAGCAGGAGAAGTAAGAGTATGCGGGGAAGTGGATCCAAACATACTTGTGAAAGCACTAACTAGGACAGGAAAACATGCAGAGGTTGTATATGTAAAGCTGAAACATCCTAGTCTTACTCCTAGAAATCATTATTATGCCAATGACAATCGCTATTATCGTCCTCCTTATGGCGGCCATGGCCATAACTATGGTGCATTAGATCACTATGACTACTACAACACAATGGCAATGAGAAGACCCATGGTGGAGCAACCTTACTACTACGGCGGCGGCCGTTCTTCCCCCTATCCTCCACCTAGGTACGAATCATTATCCGAATAACTTTGATTATGTTATCTGCAGAATTTTTCGTAAGCAGTATCGCCTTATTATTATATCGATTGGTATTTAAGTTTGGACTTCAAATGTGTGCCTACACACATATAGTGAATGTTTTCGGCAAAGTGGTGTCAAATGACACTTTCTAGTAGAAGGGTGTCCAGTGTTGTCAATGGCTCATTTAAGGCGCGCTTAAGCGCTGAAGCTCAGAAGCTCAGGAGCGCGCTTCCGTGCAAGCAAGGCGCTAAGGCATGTGCTGTATTACCCATGAATTCTTTTTTGAATCGGGCAATATTAAACAACAATAATAATCGACATATAAGTCTATTAGTTGTTAAGTAAAAGATTATGAGTGAATTTGTTACTCTTTTTCTTGAATTACATGTATACTTTTTTCCTCCATCGCCTTTTTACTAAAGCCCATATTTTAATTGCGCTTTGCGCTTAAAGCCCCAATAGACCTGAAGGCTGGAGTGCTTTTTATAGCTTTTCGTTTTTGATAATACTGAGGGTGTCTTTGCTACCACACTCAATTGATGCACTATGTGGTAAACCTATAAATAGGATTATTAATTTTTTTTACAAAATACTAAACTACACTAATAATAACAAACAGTATACCAAATTAAACTCAAATCTTTATGATGAATTTACAAGGCTTACACAATAGCTTTCTTAACCAATCCCTATTTCTTGTAGTATAATATACATTTTTTTTAAGTTAATGTTGACTGAAAATGCTTGTGTTGTTTTGCAGGTATCACCCATTTTATTACTAATTATTATGTGGAATATGCTGGAAAGGGACGATGACTATTGGAAGAATATTTTTAACTGTTAAATTCATCAATGTGCTAGCTATTTAGTTTTGAATTGCTGTACTGCTATGCTTTTACTTTAACTTCTAAATTGATTGGTGGCTATGCATTTCAGAGTTGTGCAGTTTTATTGTAGTTATACTGTGGTTGCCTATTGAGTAAACAACACGGGTTAACCAGGTTTCGAACGGGTAATTGAAAAATAGTCAGCGTTTGCAATGTTATTAAAAAATAACTATTATTTTGCTGAAATACGGAAAATTCGAGCATAATATATTGGATTATGGTGTTCCTGCGTATAAACTTCCAGCATATGGTGGAACTCCAGCACACGAAAAGTTCTAGCATAATATGCTGGATTATAGAGCTCCTACGCATAAACTTCCAGCATATTATGTTGGAACTCCAGCACATTTTGGTAAAATTCAAACTCCAACATATTATGCTGGAGTTTTTTTCCGGATTTTAACGGTGTTTTTGTTTAGGTTTTATCTTTACATGAAAGAGTGGCTAAATTTTGATTACGTTGATACTATGACTATTTTTCAATTATCAGTTGTAAATTTGGTTATTTTTGATGTTTTCACTTGACTATTCCCTCATATTGATTTTAGTCGGTAATTTTTTTTTTTCACCTGCAATATTTACCCCTGCCAATAATATGATAGGAGTATATGTCTTGGCATATACTTTTATTACGAAATTATAATTAATTAATTACATATTCTTGTCTTAATTTATAATTTAACCAGTATAAAATTATAAGATTTAGTATAAATACTGAATGCATGTAAGGTTTTATCATTATTAGGTCATCTGTCTCTTTTAAAAAATAAATCTACAATAATAATAATGATGATAATAATAATAATAATAATAATAATAATAATAATAATAATAATAATAATAATAATANTCTAAAACACAAATCGACAAAACCTCTAACAAGAAAGAATGGAAGCATATAAAAGACTCACAATGATCTTATACTGATATAACTCCTCACCGCAGTACACAACCCGGTCTCAACATATCAAATCACCTGAAATCACGAGGGTCCCGCCCTCATTACTGAATCACAGTAGGGCACCCATCAACCCATCCAGAGACTCTCACTAGATCAATTCCGTCTACAAATTACAACACAGGCTGGCTCCCACACCGGTGGAGCATAGAAATCACAGCTCGTAACCAAGAATACTCAGAGATCACATCAAACCTACCGAAACAGACAACATGAATTTACTACTAGCCTCATAGCTCTCGACAACAGCTAGAAACGGACGATAGACACGGCTATCACTCATAGAACCTCCCAACAGAATAATCACGTAAACAGAGTGCAAATCATGAAATGCACCCATAACTGGAATCAACAAATAAGGGAACACACCCCGATGAGCAGAAATGTGATGAACTACAGATAGTGCCCCCCTATAACAAATCGAATCCGTACCTGAACGACATTCAACTGGCGCACCGGCCTCAAGCCTACTATATGAAACACATCAACGAGCCGGGCCTCCCCTTCTTGGGCGCCCTCTACCTGCCTGAATACCTCGCTAGGACACACCGGTCCGAAGTCTGGGACAATCTCTCATCATGTGGCTAGTATCTCCACACTCAAAGCACCCCCTCTGCTGACGAGGCGGTGGGAACTGTGCGATGCGGTTACTCTGAGACCTATGAGCTCCTGAGTCACCATGCAAAGCCTGAAGCGCGAACTGAACTGGCTGACCCGCAAAACCTCTACCATGACGCACCCTGCCTCCAAAATAAGGACCGGTATACCTCCCCGGTCTACGAGGCCTCCTCCCCTCCTCAAGCTCTCTCTCCTGACCTCGGCTGCTCTCTCTCTCATGACCCTGCCTGCCCTCTCTCTCTCTAGCATGTATACCCTCTATCCTCCTAGCAATATTCACCATCTGCTGATACGGAATATCCATCTCCAACTCACGGGCCATGCTGGACCTGATGCTAGGAATGAGCCCCGCAATGAACTTGCGAACCTTCTCGCGAACAGTAGAAACCAAAGCTGAGGCATGTCTAGCCAAACTGGTGTAATGGACAGCATACTCCGAGACGGTCATAACACCCTGGCGCAAATGCTCAAACTCCGTGCGCCATGCATCCCTGAGGCTCTGAGGAACAAACTCTCTCAGAAACACATCTGAAAACTGAGTCCAAGTCAGTGAAGCTGCCTTGTCTGGACTGTCTAACTCATAGGTGCGCCACCAATCATAGGCGGCTCCTCAAAGCTGAAAAGTAGTGAAAGAAACCCCGCTCGATCCCGAGATACCCATAGTACGGAGAATACGGTAACACTCATCAAGAAACCCCAAGGCATCGTCTGATGCTAATCCACTGAACACCGGAGGATCATACTTCTTGAACCTCTCTAGTCTCATCTGCTCCTGCTCGGAAGCCGCTGCCATGCCCTCGGGCTGAACTGGTGCCGTAGGCGGCGCAGGGATAATCTCTGGGACCTGCTCAACATGCGCTCTCTGCTCAGGAGTGCGGGCGGCGGGAGTCTGTGCCCCTCCCCCGGCCTGGGATGTGGCTGCAGCAAGGGGAAGCAATCCTTCCTCAGCCAAAGTGGTGTACATACTCATGAACTGTGCCAAAGTTTCCTGAAGGACTGGAGTAGTAGTAGTAGTAGGAGTGTCAGGTGCCTGGGCTCCGCCTGGATATGTTGGTAGTACCTCGGCGGCAGCTCGCGCAGGTGCTCTCACTGCACCACGTGCGCGTCCTTGAACTCTACCCCGACCCCGACCTCCGACGGCTATAACAGGGGGCGCGGGTGCCTGATCACCTCGGTAGTACGTGTCCTCACCATCTGTGAGAGAGTAGAAGACAGAGGTTTAGGATTGTAGATGTCAAAAATCTTGCACGACAGGGAAATCAAATGAAGTGGAAATTTTCCTAACGGTTACATAGCCTCTCGCAGATAAGTACAGACGTCTCCGTACCGATCCACGAGACTCTAATAAACCGGCTTGTGATCTGTGACTCCTATGAACCTAGAGCTCTGATACCAACTTGTCACAACCCCAGTTCACCCCCCATGAACATGTCGTGATGGCACCTAGTCCCTATGACTAGGTAAGCCTACAATGCGGAAGAAAGACCATAATTGCGGAAGAAAATAAACAAAACTGAACTGGTAAAATAAAATGGTGTTAAGGTGTCGCTCGGCACATATCACAACAATTCTCGAAGCTAACGAACTCCCAAAACTCGGAAACTCACAAATCACAAGCTAAGGGGATACATAAGAGGCTCTGACTCAAGAATATCTATACAAATGAGAAATACTGGAAAGCTATACTTATTATAGAAGGCTGGAAAAGGACTCCTCGGTCTGCGGACGTAGCAGATATACCTTGAAGTCTCTACCGGTATGCCTCCTTCCAAGGCTGACAGAACTGAGTGGGAGTACCTGTATCTGCACAACAAAAATGTGCAGAAGAGTAGCATGAGCACACCACGGCGGCGCCCAGTAAGTACCAAGACTAACCCCGGTGGAGTAGTGACGAGGAACAGTCAAGGCACCTACCGGTTAATAGACAGTATAATCATAGGAATAATGGAAAACGACATATAATTGGGTAAAGACTGCATGAATGACCCAAAATGCTACCACTCACAATAAGGGGAAATACAACAAGTAACAACGAGAATATAATAAATGATGATACGAATGACGGTAAAATCACAATCCAATCCTAAAGTCATAGCACAGCGAGGAGAAAACAAGTCAATAACTCATATCCTACAATGATGCTCACAAAGGTCTTACTCAACTATTTCCACAATTTTACCAAGTCTCAGACAAACCATCACTCACGAAGACACGGNACTCGGAAACTCACAAATCACAAGCTAAGGGGATACATAAGAGGCTCTGACTCAAGAATATCTATACAAATGAGAAATACTGGAAAGCTATACTTATTATAGAAGGCTGGAAAAGGACTCCTCGGTCTGCGGACGTAGCAGATATACCTTGAAGTCTCTACCGGTATGCCTCCTTCCAAGGCTGACAGAACTGAGTGGGAGTACCTGTATCTGCACAACAAAAATGTGCAGAAGAGTAGCATGAGCACACCACGGCGCCATGGGCTCGACGCGCACTTGTATGGTCTGGAGAGGCTTACTTATCTTATAGTTTAGGGGCTTTAGCCGTCTTTGGTTTCATTGCTTGTTGTTTTGTCTGGTTCAATATACCGCTTATCCTAGTGAATTTTTACGGACCTACTGGACCAGAAGCTTCTCAAGCTCAAGCATTTACTTTCTAGTTAGAGACCAACGTCTTGGGCTAACGTGGGATCCGCTCAAGGACCTACTGGTTTAGGTAAATATCTAATGCGTTCCCGACCGGAGAAGTCATTTTGGAGGNGAACTATGCTTTTGGGATCTGCGTGCTCCATGGTTAGAGCCTCTAAGGGGTCCAATGGGGTTAGACTTGAGTAGGTTGNAAGTATCCACTAAACATAGGATATCTAACTTCTTTCCAATTAAGGCCAATTAATTACACGAGAGATAGAAATAATGCTTTCCAGATAAAGACAAGTAGTTAGGAATGATAATGTGACTATAGAAGGGTAAATGCCTACAGTTAAACAAGTAAAAGTCAATTAGGCAACAAGAATAACCAAAAAGAGCAAATAATTCCAAGTAAGTCATGTAGAGGTGAAACTAATAACAGGGAGCTCAATCGTACCAAGAACAACTTCATATTCGGTGATTATAAGGATCTAAGAGCCTAAAAGGGGCAATTTTCCACAAATAAATCCGAGCACGCACTCGTCACCTCGCGTACAAGGAATACAATCAACAAAGAAGACTCAAATCCTAAGGGGAAGCCCCCCACACAAGGTTAGGCAAGATACTTAACTCGAACCGGCTAAAATCAACTAGCAACCACGTCCTTGCCACGAGTACTCAACTCCAAATTGCCCAAATCTATTCAATTAAATCACAAATTGTAAATAACATCTCAAGCAACTGATTCTACTATTTAATTCAAGGCTACGGCGTGAAATTATATGAAATGACCAAAATGCCCTTCAGGCCAACGCCTCGGAATCAAATAATTTTTACATTTTCAG